TCATCATGTCCAATTCTAATTCACCAATTCCTTCTCAATCATCATCATTATGCAATATGAATTTATAAACATTAAATCTAGATAATACATCTGAAAATTCATATAATAATCAAGAATTAATTCTGTAAACAATATTGCTAAAATCCATTCCTTTTATCTAAGAAATATTTAAAAAGAACTAGAATATACTGGTCAAACTTTAACAGGAAAGGATTTAAAGAGTATGTTGGTTGAAGCAGAAGTTATTTCAGATGATGAAGATGATGAAAGTAATGATGATGAAAGTAATAGTTATGTTGATGATGAAATTAATTTGACAGATTTAGAAATTCATGATATTATGGATTTGGAAAATAATTTTTTTTTAGAAGAGAATGATAAAATGGATGAGGATATGGATGAGGAAAGTGGTGATTACAGTGATGATAGTAATGAATTAGATTATGATAGATTAGGATTAGTTCAAGATTCAATGAATGAGGATTTATTTTCAGAAATAGTTAATGAAGGAGCATTTCAACAACCAGAAGAAAACCAACAATTATTACATGATTCTACAGGTTTTGAAGAAAGTTGTGAAACCAATGATGTATATAAAGTAATAATTTCTACTAAAACAAGAAGCAAGTACCCAATTGAGTAACATAATCTACGATATAAAAATGCTTAAAAATTTGTTTTAAATAATTCTATTATTTTTAAAATAAAATTTGAATTTATACTTTCATTAATTTTGACATTTTTTGTCACCTTTGATGCTTTCATCACTTTCATCACTTTCAACAAAAGTACTTATCATTTGCTGAAATACTTTCTACCCTCCAAAATACTTTCGGCACCCAACCTTGATATGTACAAATGCCTGTGTCATGTGATATGATTATATATTATAAAAACGAAAAGTTGGCATGTAACTTTTACTTATTATTTTTCTTATTTAAATTCTTGTCTATCTGGAGAATCATTACCTTGTAACTCCGAGAATAGAATGATCTGTATTTGTTAATATATTATAAAAATTAATGTGTAACTTTTACTTACTATTTTTCCTATTTAAATTCTTGTCTATCTTGAGAATTCATTACTTCGTAACTCTGAGAATAGAATGATCTGTATTCATTTGTTTATATAATAAAAATAACTAGTTTGTTTATATGATAATAAAATAATAATAAATAAATAACTAGTTGCATATTAATATAGAGTATATTAATATGTAAAAACATAATCTTTTGTTTTATGTAAATAAGTGAATTCAATTATCCCAATAATAATGTTAATGTATACATTAAAAAAATAAACAAAGAAATAATAAAAATAATTAATTGCTAATATCAATAAAATAATAATATGAATAAAATATTAATTTTTTTAAATAAATATTTAATATTAATCTGTTAATGACTCATAAAATCTCTTTACTTTGTCATGAACCATTATCTTTTCTCTTGCAAAGTTTAAAACCTGTAAAGATTCCAATGATTTAGCTCGTGACAAAGCAACATATGCCTGCCCTATTTACAAAAAAAAATATAATAATTTTTTTATTTATTTATAATAATAGTTATATTATCATTATTATGAATGTATATATAAATACCTTTTTCAAAAACCTCTTTCAAATCAATCTTGACTCTTTCCAGTGTTTGGCCCTGGCTTTTATGAATACTAATTGCCCAGGCAAGTATAAGAGGAATCTAATATTACATTAAATATATAATAAATACATATATATATTACAAAAAAAAATTTCATGCATACACATAAATACAAAAATACCTACTTGTTGTCTACTTGCTGATACAACATTACCAACAGTTTCTAGTCTCCATTCAGCTTTATGAACAATCAATTTTCTATTTTCAGTAAATTTAACTATTGGCAATATTTCATCTTTCTGGCCAAACTCTACAATCTCATCTTCACCATCATAATAACTTTTTCTAGTATCTTTTGAATAAAAACCAACAATAACACCTCTACTCCCATTAACTAAATCATTATTGATCTTTTTAATAAGCATTACTTGTGCACCCCGTTTTAATTCCAGTTTATCTGGTGCCAAGCAACCTTTAATAAGTGTCTTTAATTGACCAATTTTTTCTGGTTCATAGTCTTTGGCATGATATATATATGGTTTATTTTGAATTTTACTTAAAAACACAAGATTTGCACTAGTTACTTTATCAATTTTTGAGTACCTTGTAATTTAACAAACAAATATTATTATATAAGCATATTATATATATCATGAATATTGATCAACTTACAATTCTGTAACATGAATTCCATCATCAGGATATTGTGGTGGAAGTTTTAATCTATTCATGATTTCCAATGTTTTTTCAGTCACAATGCCCAACCTAATCTCATTTAATATACCAATAAAATCTATAGAATTAGAATTAAAAATTAGATCAATTTATCAAATAAATATTTATTCTTTTACCAGACTCCTTCTGTCTAAAAACTGTTGACAATTGTATCATATGGTTTATACATTTAGTCCATGAGTTTGATTCATAACAAAATTTAATATTACAATCTTTAGAAACTGGCAGTAGTTGGAAAAAATCACCTGTGACTATTAACTAATAAATAAAATATACAAATATATTTGTGTAAACATTATAAAAAAAACACCTCAAAAAATCATTAATCATTAAATATCAATCAATATTATAGCATACTAATATTCCACCAAATAGCCTATGATTATTGCGAATAGCTTGTGCAATTGTATCCAGTTTATCAAATAAGCCCCCATCAAGCATTGAGACTATATATAAATTATAAAATAATTAAATAAATAATAAATAATCAAATAATGATTATTATTATTTTCAATGAATTAGGTAAAAAAAAAAAATTATACCTTCATCAATAACCAATGCTTTAATAGATTTCCATTGGAGATAATGGATTTTTGATTTTTTAATTTTTTCAATAAGCTTTTCTGTTGATTCAGTTCCTAGCCCTATTCCTGCAAATGAGTGTAAAGTTGTACCAGAAATGTTAACTGCTGCTATGCCAGTCATAGCAGTTACAGCAACCTTTTCAGTTCCATAAATTTTTTTAAGAGCAACTATAATTTTTAACAGGACATGACTTTTACCGGTTCCTGCTGAACCAGTGAAAAATAAATTTTCATGTTTATTAACAGCTATGTCATAAACTAATTGCTGTTTTATTGACAAAGCCTCTTGTTCTTGTTTCTGTTGTTGTTGCTCTTGTTGTTGTTGTTGTTGTTGCTGCTGCTGCTCTTGTTGCTGTTGTTGTTGTTGTTGCTGAGATGATGGTTTTTTATGCAAGTATTTTTCAATCGATACCTGACTGTTCGTGATGACAAGTGGCGGGCGATAACCACCATTCTTTTTAATAACTAACTAGAGTGACGATGAGTGGCGGGCAATAACCACCACCACCATCCTTAAAACACTTCTTCAGCTTCATTTTCTCTTCTTTTTTTATTACTTAGACTTTGATTGTTTGGTATTGTTAAAAAAAAGAAGTTTGTTTAATTGATCGACGCGTACACATTAATTATTTATTATTATTCTATTGGTTGGGATGACAGACGCGAATTGTTTTTTTTTTGGGAAAACAATTTATTTTTTGACAGAGTCCAAGATGACAAAATGCAAATCTTCTAAAGAAGACGTGTTAATAACTAACCAGAGGTACTATTTTTTACTTGTATTGATATTTTTATTTTAGCTTATAAATATTTTAATTGGAAATCAAAAACGCGGAGCAGATCTTGCTGGGTAATTACAAGATTTTCATTGATAATATTTTGCTTTTCGTAATCAATATTAATATTAATATATAATTTAACTACAAGATGTCAAGGCAATACACCATTGAATATGAAACATTTTGATATGTGAAGTTTGATTACAGGAAAATGGCAGGTGTTGAAGCATGCACGCTACCTTGAACACTTACAGCCATTCTCTCATCTTCCTCATGTACACAAGGCTAATCTGACCTGATTGATCGATGATACAATGATGCAATTAAATTTTCTGGGGTATTGCGTGGCTTTGGAGTTTACCGAGACTGCATCAATCGTCAATGACGCTTTCACTAATCTTCCCAGACCAGAGATGGCCGCTGCCATGTTGGATGAAAAGTCACCTGCAACGATCCTACCTCTAGGGCAAGGATAGCTCTATGTCCAAGATGTTGCAACTCTGCTGATGAATATTAAGAGAACCTGGAGCTCGTTTCAAGCACAGGAGGTTGCAATTCAGAGCAGGGTTGGTGGCCCTGAAATTGCATTTGGGCTCTGATGATAAGAGGAAAGTTGTAAAATAGTGTTTGTTTTGTATAATAATTTTCATAAATGCTCAGTTTTTCTGATGCTAACCAATTGATGATTTTGGGTAGGGGACTGGGATGGGTTTTTGCCCAATCAGTCCTCTGTCCTGTAGGTTAAAATTATCACACGATATATACATCTTTGTCAGCAATATGGCCAATGAGAAAAAGTCATAAAATGGTTTGGATTTTGGTATGTTATAAATTAATCATTTTCATAAATGCTCTGTTTTTCTTTAATTTTTATTTGATCAACTGAATTTGTTATTTTAGTAAATGAGGGTAGGATTGTTGGTGAGTAGGCATGCCACCGACAAGACAACAACCCAGGCCTCAAAGCTCTGAATTCAGGGAAAATCCAAAACAGAAATTTCCCAAGTTGCTGAATTTTCAGGCATACAAAGCAATCAGCACACAAATGCTGATCCTCATCAATGATCAATGCTCATATGGAAACAGCCAGCAAGCCTGAGGGGAAGATAAGAAAAGTTTTGTCCAAAGCCTTCCAGCATGTTTAGGACCACTACACCCGTGGAAAAAATTCCATGGTGCTGAATTGTGCTTAATTGCACTGTCTTGCATGTTTGTGATAGGAAAATTTAATTAAATCTGACACCCGTGATCAACATCAGATTTATTATAAGGCTGTAATATTTTTTTCTATATCAGGAATTATTTCATCTCCTTCTTGCTCTGTCTCTTCATTATTATCAAATTTAATAATACCAGTATGCTTCCAACAATTGGCAATGGTATTTATTGTAACATCATCTCTCCAAGCTGTTTTAATGAATAGTATAGCTTCTATAACATTAAGCTTGGCAACCTGTTCATTATCCTCAAACTTTTCAAGAAGGTGATGTACAAATCGACGATGATAATGTTTCTTGAAAGATGCAATAATCCCAGCATCACAAGGTTGAAACTTTGATGTGGGGTTTGGTGGTAAGAATTTAATCTGTGTATTATTCAATTCTAACCCTTCAATTATATGACAAGGTGCATTGTCAAGTAATAATAACACCTTTCTACCACTCATTCTTTGATCAAATAGTCTTAACCATCTACAATTGAGAATTGATTAAAAATGCTTTATAAAGTAAGTCATATTAAATTATTAATCATAAATTTACTTACTCTTGAAATAAAACTGCTGTCATCCATGCTTTAGTATTTGCTCTATAGGTAATTCCAAGATTATTCATATTAACATTTTTCATACACTGAGGTTTTAAAAATTTTCCAATAATGAGAGGTGGAAGTTTATCAGTTCCATCAGCATTACAACAGAGCACAACAGTCAAACATTCCTTGTCCTTTTTTTTTCCCTCAAGTTGTTTTGTTGCTAGAGTTGTGTCAGGTTCAAGACTATATGTATTTATTAAATTACATTAGCAAATAACAATATTTTAAATATTGTTTATAATATTATACTTGTCAGAAGAACAGTCCTGTTTCATCCATATTATATACACATTCAGATCTAAAGGAGCTAATGATTGCTTTTAAATCAGGAAGTGCATTTTCAATTGCGTTGGTATCAGCTGATCCACTTTCTCCATGCAATTGATATCTTTTCAAATTGTTTCTACATATGTAATTATTTGTTATAGAAGAAATTAATAATTTAATATCATAAATATGTGTAAAAATATACCTGTTTTTAAAGCTTTGAAGCCATCCAGAAGAAAATGTCAATGCATCATCAGGAATATTAAGCAATTTTGCAAATGATTTAGCTTTTTCAGTTATGATTAGGTCGGTGAGAGGAATATGGTTTTGTGAGGGCAAACACCATTCTTGGAGTGCAAGCTTAAGTTCAGGATATCTAACATTATGGGGTTTTTTCTGTAGTGGATTTTGTAGTAAGTTTGTTTCATTATCCAAATACTCATATGAGTGCTTTAATGTTCTGAAAATAGTTGCTTGATCAACTTTTATACCAAATTCTTGTTCACACCAATTAATTAATTCTTTTTGGGTTATTCTTGGGTCATCTTGCTTTTTTAAACAGATTTGATAATGTTGTTGATTGTTTAATGTGACTTTCTTCATTGTAAATGTAAAGGATAACAAAATATATGATGTTTGTATAAAATTGAGTAAAATTCAAAAATTTATGATTAAGCTATTAAAATTAATGAATTGATTAAAACCATGACGCGAATGACACGAAACATTCATGTCACGTGATTGTATGTAACAGCAACCACACAATAACGTGAATATACATATTCTGTCTATTTACATAAAAACTCATCAGTCCCAACAATATGCAAATAGACAGGTGCGACCGTATTTAAAAAATGTATACATATGTTGTTGGGGGGTGTTACAGTCTAATTAAATCAAAACTAAGTAATCTCATATAGTGTCGATCACTTATTTTTTTTTAATGATCGACAACGCAAAGAAAACAATAAATAAAATCGTATTTTCAAAATGCTACTAGTCAGTGAAAAAGAGAGATATCATTTCCAAATTTGAGTATAGAATAGTATAATATATTTAGTTTATTGGTACAGAGAGATTTTTGAAGGTAACAAACAGCATTGATGAAAACGTCACCATCAAAAATTGCTGAAAGTGTAATGGATATAATAAAAACACATTTTTCAAAATGCTACTAGTCAGTGAAAAAGAGAGATATCATTTCCAACTTTGAGTATGGAATAGTATAATATATCTAATTTATTGGTACAAAGAGATTTTTGAAGGTAACAAACACCATTGATGAAATTTGTTTTATTTGTTTTATTTGTTTTATTTGCTTTTATTCGTTTTATTAATTTATTTGCTTTTATTCGTTTTATTCATTTTATTTGCTTTTTATTCATTTTATTCGTTTTATTTGCTTTTATTCAAATTATTCGTTTTATTTGTTTTATTTGTTTTATTCGTTTTATTTGTTTTATTTGTTTTATTTGTTTTATTTGTTTTATTTGTTTATTTGCTTTTATTCGTTTTATTTGCTTTTTATTCGTTTTATTCGTTTTATTCGTTTTATTTGCTTTTATTCATTTTATTTGCTTTTATTCGTTTTATTCGTTTTATTCGTTTTATTCGTTTTTATTCATTTTTATTCATTTTATTCGTTTTATTCGTTTTGTTCGTTTTATTCGCTTATTCGTTTTGTTCGTTTTGTTCGGTTTGTTCATTTTTATTCGTTTTATTCGTTTTATTATTACTTGAATTGTTTGTTTTACTCAAATAAACATTTGAATAGAAACCTAACTGCTACTCAAGATATGATATTATTTTAGCACAAAGAGCTTTAGAAATATTTAACCAATAATTTAATTACAAATAAGCTTTTAGACTATATGATAAAAATATTAAGAATATTATAATCAGATTCTGATATTTGCTGATACCCCATTACCCAATTTGGCCAGTAAAGAGAGAACCAATAGATTATATATAAGCAAAGAAAATGGGACCTTAAATTAGCACAAAAGAATTTTAAATCATGCACAAACATAACAGCTTGATAGCTTGATTGACATAGTGATGCAGTCTTTGGATTCAATGCAATTTTTTTTATTGTATAATTAATCATATGTTTTTTAACAAAACAAACATGACTTACCATTTAATCATTTCCTTTGTTTCCTTGTATGCGAATGCCTCCATCCATCAAATATTCATTGGTCATGATTATTATGCAATACATTTGATATCATAATTGACATAACAAACAATTGCATCACCCAGGTAGTAACAATACCAAGGCCATGCATAAACAAACTTTTAATAATGCGTGTATACCCAGATCTCTGGGGTTCACAATAATAAATTATTCTTCCTGATTATCAATTGTAGTTCCTTATGAATAATAAATCTGATGTTGATTGCAGATGTCAGATTTAATTGAAATTTCCTATCACCAACACAAGTTTGGGTGCAATTAAGCACGCCTCATAACTGTAAATTTTTTTCCACAGGTAAGGGTGCCCTCTGTTGGAAGGCTTTGGACAAAACATTCCCTTATCTTCCCCTCAGACCAGGCTTGACTGTCACCATATGGGCATTAATCACTGATAGCTGGTGCTTGCATTGTGTTATCACCCTCTCTCACTAGAATAAAGTTGATTTAAATAACAAGTTCAGTTGGTTAACAAAAATTAAAGAGAAATAGAAAATTTATGAAAAATGATTAATTTATAACATAACATACCAAAATCCAAACCATTTTATGACTTTTTCTTGTTGGCCATATTGCTGACAAAGATGTATATAATCATGTGATAATTTTAACCTAAAGGACAGGGGGACTGATTGGGCAAAAACCCTGTTCAATCCCCTATCCAAAATTATAAATTGGTTAGAATCAAAAAAACAAAGAATTTAGGAAAATGATTATACAAAACAAACACTATTTACAACTTTCCTTTTAACATCAGAGTCCAAATGCAATTTCAGGACCACAAACCCTGCTCTGAATTGTGACCTCCTGTGCTTGAAACAAGTTGCAGATTCTTGTTGCTTTGATGGATCTGGATATTTACATGGCACTACAATTCATCAGCAGAGTTGCAACTTGGTCACAGAACCATCCTTACCCCAGAGGTGGGATTGTTGCAGGCAACTTTTCGGCCAGCATGCCAGCAGCCTTCTCTGGTCAGGGAAGATTAGTGAAAGTGTCATTGACAATTGATGCAGTCTTGGTAAACTCCAGAGCTTTGCGTCCCCCCCCCAGATTTCAACATCATCATATCATCGGGAGAAACGTGGTCAGATTAGCCTTATGTACATGAGAAACGTGTGTGAATGACTGTAAAGTGTTCAAGGTAGCGTGCGTGCTTCAACATCTGTAAGTTTCCGATAATCAAACATCGCATACCAAAATGTTTCTTTTTCAACAGTTAATGCTGCCTTGACATCTTGTAATTATAATAATATAATATTAGTATTATTATTACGATTACGCAAAGCAAAATATTATCAATGAAAATCTTGTAATTACCCAGCAAGATCTCCTCCGCGTTTTGATTCCAATTAAAATATTTATAAGCTAAAATAAAAGGCACCTCATACATATCAATACAAATAAAAAAAAGTACCTCTGGTTAGTTATTAAAACGTTTCTTTAGGAGACCCAAACCAAACAAACAACAATGTTCACGTTTTGTCACCTTGGACTCTGTCAAAAAATAAATAAATTGTCTTTCCAAGAAAAAAAAAAATCATTCGCGTCTGTCCTACCAAAAAAAAAAACCAATAGGATAAATAATTAATGTGTACGCGTCGTCGATTAAACAACAAACTTTTATTTAATTTTTTAAAAAAAAAATGTCCAATTATAAAAATTTAAGAAGCAGAGAAAATAATACGAGGAATGATGAGTAAGTGTTTTAAGGATGGTGGTGGTGGTTATCGCCCGCCACTCGTCGTTACTCTAGTTTTATATATAACTTTATCTTTTTCATTTACTTAGATTTACAACTCAAATCATAAAAAGATTGGGGGAGGTCCATCGTCTAACCCCCCAAAGCGTCAGAGATTTTTTAAATTCCGAAGTGGATTTAATTAAATCTTTGAATAATATTATTATAAATATTTCAGATACAATGCAAACATTTTATTTTGAAGAGGTGATTTAAATAGAATGATTTATATTATATATATATATTTATAAATACTACATTCATATATTCATACACGCATTTCAAATATGTCTATTTTTTGTAGGAGAGTGATAATGATGATGATGATGATGATGATGATGATAATGATAATAATAATACTAATAATAATAATAATGATAATGATAATAATAGTGATAATAATAATGATAATGATAATAATAATGATAATAATAATACTAATAATGATAACAATAATAATGATAATAATAATAATAGTAATGATAATAATAATAACATTAATAATGATAATGATAACAATAATGATGACAACAATAATGATAATAATGATAACAATAATAATGATAATAATAATAATGATAATAATAATAGTAATACTAATAATGATAATAATAATAACATTAATAATGATAATAATAATGATAATGATAATAATAATGATAATGATAATGATAATGATAATGATAATGATAATAATAATAGTAATGATAATAATAATAATACTAATAATGATGGCAATAATAATGATGATAATAATAATAGTAATGATAATAATAATAACATTAATAATGATAATGATAATAATAATGATAATAATAACAATGATGATGATGATGATGATAATAATAATAACTCAGTTAATAAACTTTTCTGTTTATTAATATGTTAATTTGTTTGTATTTTTTGTCAACTTATGCATTTGTTTTTTAAAAACCTTGCAGATATATAATCTTCGTACTAGAAGAAGAATCAATTACAATGTTGGTTTATTGCCATCGAGAAAACGCCGTCGCCACAACCATGTAAGTATAAGCTGAAACATTAATAGTAGACATAACACTTTATTTAATTTTTTTTACTTATATTTATAGGCATAAAATTTCCAGACAGCCTTACAAAGAAATGATTTTATATATGTTGGATGATTTATATAATTTCAAACATGGAGAAAAAATTTTAGGATTAGCATTAAAAGTAAATGATAGCATAGTTGTAGAAGAATTATTTGATTCCTGCCTTAAATATTTTCAAGAGGATACTGCAACAAATATTAGTTTATTAAAAATAATTATATCAAATTTACCAAGATTACAAAAAAATTATCAAAAATTATCAAAATTCTTTGATCAAACTTCAATGATATCATTTCCATTTAATGATAGAATTTATCATAAAAAAATTGTTTATAGTGCAATGGTTAATGAAAATTTTATTTATAAAGATAAAAGCTTTTGGGATTTGTTTTTTAAGTCTGAAATGTTTGGAGTGTATGGAATACTTGGAGTATTGGGATTTTTTGGAATATTTGGAATATCTGTAATATTTGCAAAATGGGGAGTATTGGGACCATATGAAATATTTGGAATATGTGGAGTATTTGGAATATATAGAATGTCTAGGTTTTTTTACAAAAATTACAGTAAAAATGATGATGCTAAACCTTGTGTAAAATTGATAATTCCATATCCTGGATTACTTACATACAAATTATACAAAACCAAATATTCATTATTTAAAGAATTATTATATAAACCAGATAATAGTATATTTGTTGAATTAGTTGAATTGGATACTTTGGAATTATACAAGAATTTGAACATTGAACTAATTTTGGATCATAAATGGATCACTTTTGGATTCAGATATTATATTGGAATATTGACTTTTTATATAGTATTTTTATTAAGCTTTGTTACTGCAACAACTTCTACATTATCTTATTTATCTGATAATGGCAGACATTCATTATTAACAGCAACAATTGTCCTTGGAGCAATTCATTTTACAGTAGAAGTTAGACAATTTATCTGGAAACCATTGAAATATACCACAGATTTCTGGAATTACTTTGGTATGGTGTTATTTTGTTATTATCATTTATTATAAACTAATTTTTAATTATTTATTTAATTAATAGACCTAGGTGCCTATTCCTTAGCAATTGTTACTTCAATTCTATGGCTGTATTATAATAAACCACCACCTATTCAACTGATTTCTGCATCAAATTTATTATTAGATTTAAGATTAATGTTATTTTTAAGAGTTTTTAAAAATTTTGGAGCATATTTTGCCATTATTATAGGAGTTGCTAAAAAAGTCTTTTGGTTCTTAATTATAATATTAATAATAATTTTAAGCTTTTCGCATGCATTTTTTTTATTGTTGAAACCAAGTCAAGATGTTGCATTAGACTACCCTGATTTCAATGATGATACCAACAATCCTTGGAATCTTGTTAATAAGTATTATACATATTTTGCAAGCAACAGTTCATATAATCAAGATTCACTCCTTGTACAACAACCTGATGCCAACACAAATATGTTTGCACATTTTCCTTCTTCAATTCTGGCAATGTATAATTTTCTTACAGGTATTAATTATATATATTTCATTAAAATAATAATCAACTTAAATAATTTAATTTAATTGATTTTTTATTAGGAGATAATGGTGCATTTGGAGCTTGGGAGTTGCAGAAAAATTCATATCTCACATTATTAGTGGTTTCATTCTCATTCATTGTTGTGGTATACCTAATGAATCTATTCATTGGTTTGCTTGGCAATGAAATTCATCATTATAATACAAAAGAAGCATTTTTGGCTCAAAAAGCAAAAATTATTGTAAAGATTGAATTATTTTATTTATTTCCTAATCAACGTCGTTGGAGAAACTGGTTTCCAGATATATTGTAAATATAATAATAATTAATTAATTAAATCATTTTTAATAAATTGCTTTTAATAGTTATTAAAAAAATTTTTTTTTGTTAGATACTATAATGCACCAATTGATGATATTCGTAAAAAAATTAAAAAAGCAGATGATAGCAATGAGGGCGAAGAATATCTACCATATATTTCTGATAGGCTTAGGGAACTTGCTAGAGTGTCTAAAAAAACAGAAAATGGTTTTGATTCAAGGTTTCAACAAATTGAAACCAAACTTGCTGAAATGTCTAATAAAACAGAAAATGATCTTAGGTTTCAACAAATTGAAAGCAATCTGAATGAAATAAAAAATATTATTGAAAATAACACAAAGGAAATGGAAAAAAAAATGGAAAATAAATTGAATCATTATAACAATCAATTGTTGATTCAAATGCAAATTTTGTTGAATGAAATTAAGAATTCAAAAAAATAATTATTAGATTTATTATTTTATTACTATTTATTTTATATGTAATATTTATTTCACGGAGACTAACGCCTGTGATGAAAAAAGGTTTATTTTGTTATAAAAAAGTTTTTTTACATAAATTCTTTTTTTTTACTATGATAAAAAATTGCAATTTACCTTTTGCACCCTTTCTTAAAACATTTATTTATTTAATAAAATGCGTCAAATTTACACCAATAAAAAGCAAAAGGGACCCAAACAAGCATTTCAACCTATTTTTACTAATGCAAGTTCTCTCCTTTCCCAAAAAGTTTCCAAGGCTTTGATTTCTACTTTACCAGTTGATTTTATTCCTCAAAGTATTTCAAATACCATTTCCTCACAATAAGCACCATCTGAAATTTATGAGAAACTTAATTTCATCAAAAAGCTATTGTTGCAAATACTGAAAAATCAACTCGAAATTGGATTTCTAAATTTGAAGAATTTCGCAAGAATTATAATTATATTATGCCACTTGATTACGAATTCCGAATTAAAAGTCTTCGCTTTTTTGCATAAATAATAAACATAAAATGTATAAACTAAACAGGTTTGGGGTTGAACCTTCGAATCCCATTGGTTTTGTAATTTAGGAATTGCTATTTCTCACCGGTAGTGATTGTCACCACCTAAGGAACTACAGTGCAGGACACCTAATCCCGCAACTTACTGCGCCACGACGACGAATTTTGGGAAAAAATTTCCAATCAAAA